GACGGTTTGTGATATTACCGAATTTACTACGAAACATGTAGCTTGATATGACACGGTGTTAGTACGGGACTACTGGGTAAACTTCTAAAACTGTTTGGTATCATACCATACTATGCCAAACAAAACCGTTTATTTGAATATCATGAATAGAGATGCTCTTACAAATCTCAGTTCTAAGAAAAACTATTTAATGAACTAAATCATAAATTCTTTCTAAAAACCCAACAAATACGGAATAATTGATGTTATAAAACATGAGTCTTTTTAGCAGTTAACATATGTCTACTAAGTCTATTTAGTTTTACATGTCTAGTAGCTAATTAGAAGAGACTAATAACAACAAAAAAATACTCCGTATAAAGAAAAAATTAAAAATAGATAAAATAATAAAATGGTACGTAGTACTCCGTATATTTTAGTAAAAAGGTATACTTTAGTAAAGATGGTACAGTTTTGTAAGACATATAGACATATATATTAACAAAAATAAAATTATAAAGACATATATGATATATGTAATCAAACAATATGATTTGAGACAAATGGTACTCTGATATTAGGATGTTTTATTTTGGACTGAAATTTGCTGGTCTGGTCTGGTCTGGTCTGATCTGGTCTAGTTTGGTCTGAACTGGTCTGGTCTCTGTGTATTTTATAACTATGAAAGTCTGGTCTGGTCTGGGACTAAAAACAGTCCAAAGAAAACATCCTAAAATCGTAAACCGATTCCTTCCCGTTTAAGATTGGTCCGGTCCGAGGTCATTTTGATACAGTAAGATCATTGTGTATTTTAAAAACATGATTTGTAAATATGAAAGTGAAGAATATAGAAGGTTAAGCTTGAGAATTAATTACTTATTTATAATTGCTAACCCTAAACGTTTTACTTTCTAGCATTTTCTCTTTTGGCATTTTAGATCGAAGCGCTATATTGGCACGTCATTTGTCAAACACTTCATTTTTGTCTTTTGATCATTTTTTTTGGAAGAAGTAGGTTTAAATCGATATCACAACATTCAGATATGAGGTAAATTGATAAAAAGGCCGTTGACAACCGTCGACCCTTGAACCAGACTCAAAGGTTTTTTTGCTAATTGTTTTGCAAATAGGAGTCATTAGGAAAAAAACTTTGATTTTATGCACAATTTACAGGGTGTAGCTTGAAACCTTCTTCCCGTTTCCAAAAAGGTCTTATTTGCGAAAATTAGTCCACCAAGTCAATAGTTAGTGCCAAAACAGTGAAGACGTGCAAAAATCGGAGCCCGTCACCTCCCCGTGCCAAAACAGTGAAGACTCAAAATCGGAGTCAATAGTTAGTGCCAAAACAGTGAACACGTGCAAAAACCAAACTCAGAGGTTTAAAAAGACTCCTAATTGTTTCTAATGCTCTGGCGGGTTTAAAGATCGGAGCCCGTCACCTCCCCGTTTTTTGGCTTGTCCAGAGCCATGTTGTCACCAACCGAGTCCTCATGTTCTTGAGCCTCCCAAATTCTCTTGCGCTTTTGTTCCCATGCCCGTCGTGGACTCCCTTCAGCCTTGCCCTCCTACTTCCACTTCGGTCTGAATGTCCTTTTGTTGTAGCCCCATGCCTGAGCTAAAGGAGCCTTCTATAAGCCATTTGTTTCTTCCTATAGGACTAGTCTTCCCCTCCCCCACCAGCTCTAATATCCACCGCATAAGTTTTTTCCAGTACTAGAGTATCCTCATATGTTAGTGGACAAAACTTATCAGAATGACCAATTAACTCCACAGATAAATCAATAGTTGGGTAGTTTTTCATATTTAAAATCTACCCAATGACCAATTCCTCATTTCTTGAGAGTTGTTCCTTTTTCCAGAGGTTTCCGACATCCATGCAGACCCAAACACACATACATGCTTCCCACTTTTCATCAAATTAATTTTCATCATAGCTAATAAATTTAATTATCAATAAAATTACCATCCCTCCTAGCAGTGCCTAAATGCATCAAATCATAAGGAACATTATGAACTTGCACCCAGAATTCAGCCTCGTTGAGGATCAACAGGTTTCTTTCAAACAACCACGGGTCACTCTCTAGTACACGTCGCATATCCATAACATGAAAGAAAGTAAAAAGATAACTTTTATAGCCAATTTCTTTGATCGACACACCCCTGGTCTCCACAAAGAAGTCATAAGTTCCTCGAAGATCTGGAACCTGATCTTTCTATCAGTCAGAAGTGTGCTAACGACCGGAAAACTCGCCCGCACTGCCGGTTCGCCAAACTCACCTTCATCAAAGCTCAGTTCCTCAAGACCCCCACCGATATGATTGTCATGTTCTTATATTGATTGACAATGTTTTCCATTGAAACTCCTCCCTGCTAGAACGATCATGCCTCGCCGCCACACTCGAAACACCCCTATCCCTTTCTCGCTGAACGAATCAAGGCCGCCGTTAAAGGCCACAAACCTCCGTCTCACGTTGCACTCCTTCGCTCAACCCTATAGATCCCGTCGCGACCGCTCTCCATCAATCGACGGAGATATCGAAGCCCTAGAGAGGGAGACTGCTCTTTTTATGTTGAGGATATAGTTAAAAAATAAAAGGATTCTTTTTTTGTCTTTTGGTCAATTTTTTTTGCAACCAAAACCAACTCAGATTAATCTAACATATCGTTTGACAATTGACTCACAATACAATCAAGAGGAAAGTAAAACAAATCTCTACAATCTGGCAAAGAAATGGCGGCCTTTGCAAGGATATGTGCTACACGGTTCGCAGATCGTTTCATATGTTTGACCAAAAAATTTGCTTTCGGAGCAATCATCTGTCTAATATCATCAATAAGCAAGTCAAAGTAGGACTCACCTGGATCTGATAGCACCCCAAACACATTGCTTGTGCAACCGTTTCAATCATTAACTTTTCTCAACCCTCTATTGCTGCCCAGTTTATGGCCTCCCTTACTGCTTCCGCTTCAGCTTCTCTTGGTGTCCGGGCAGTCATGTGCCTATCCCTCCTAGCTGCCACGAAACCCCCTCTATCATCTCTTGCTACCATAGCTAAACCACATCCACCGCCATTTTTGTCGATAGCAGCGTCTATATTTATCTTGAGCCAACCCTCCAGTGGTTTTTCCCATCGTGTAAACATTCTCGAAGCATTATTATTGTGTAATTTGTTGCCTGGCAGTTGGGCATGCCGCCACCCTTTGAGCATGGCTGCCCCACACTCCACCACAACTATGCTATTCTTTTTTTCATTCCGCCACTACATTATTCCTATTTTTTCAAATGCTCCATAATGGCATGAGAAAAATGCAGCAATCCTCACCGACCTGCACTGAAAAAACAGTTTGCACCCACTCATTACAGTTGCAGCAGCTCTTGTATATTTATCTCCCAGAATCCCCCATACATCTTTAGCCAGACTACACTCTTTGAACACATGTAAATCTGTCTCCAAAGACAGACCACACACCTTACACTCTTCTTCTACCAGGACCCCTCTTCTTCGTAGCTTATCACATGTAGGAATGAGACCCGACATAAATTGCCAGAATATTTTTTTAAACTTTAGAGGTATATTATAATTCCACAAGCAAGTCTAGTCAGTCCATTCCGTAGTATTGATCCCCCAAACAAGCATTCAATAACAACTACGCACAGAGAAATTTCCTCTCGCCTCCCCTACCCACCACCACAAGCCATCCTTAACAGACCTCATGCTTCTCGGAATGCTTAGAATAGTTTTACAATCAGCCTCATTAAAGAGCTTCTGAATTCTGCTTTCATTCCAATTTTGACCGTCTTCCGTCAAAATCGTAGCAACGTTCATATCCTTCACTCCCGGAGGACGACTAGATGCCACTCTACCATCTCCCGGTCCAGGTAACCACACATGACCCCAAACCATGACATCCCTACCATCACCAACTCTCCATCTAATAACACCTCTTGAAATCACGTCATGCGCCTCCAATATACTACGCCACACATATGAGGGATTTGCTCCTAATTTTGCTTCTCAAAATTCTGTTTTGGGAAAATAACGAGCCTTCAAAACTCTTCCGACCAAAGAGTTCGGATCACAAATCAGTCTCCATGCTTGTTTTCCAAGCATTGCCACATTAAACTCTCAAAGCTTGCGAAATCCTAACCGCCCTTTCTGTTTTGGTGCCCACATTCCTTGCCAAGATTTCCATCGAATGCCTCGTTTTGTCATGTCCACCCCTCTCCACCAATAACTACTCATTAATTTTTCAACTTAAACACAAAGATCCTTTGGTAGGAGAAATACATTCATTGCAAACGTTGGCATGGATTGGATAACAGACTTCAAGAGAATCTCTCTTCCTGCTCGTGAAAGGTACCGATGGTTCCAACTTTGAAGTCTTTTTATAATTCTCCCTTTCAGATAAACCAATATTTCTGTTTTACGACGTCCCACTAAAGATGGAAGACCAAGATACTTCTCCGACACACAATCCGGTGCGACCCCCATAGAGTTGCTCACGGTAACTTGGACATGTTCTGGAACATTTGCACTAAAAGAGATACTTGATTTATTTAAATTTATGGTCTGACCCATATTGATTCGTAAAGCTGGAGAATACCACGAATCTTTTCTCTCTCTTTAACAGAGGCTCTAAAGAACAAGAAACTATCATCAGCGAACAAAAGATGGGTCACTTTGGGAGCCCTTCTAGCCACTCCAATTCCACTGACTTTACCCTTTACTTCCTTAGTTCTGAGTAAAGAACTCAGACTTTCAGCTACCTAAAGGACCTTCAACTACCTAAAGGAACAAATAAGGTGAAAGAGGGTCACCTTGACATATTCCCCGTTTTGGCACTATTGGGCCCAACACTCCCCTATCAGTTTTTTTGATCAATTAAAAACACCAATTTTAGTCAAATCAGCTATTTTATTTTGGGAAATTCTATTTACACTCCACTATTTACTAAGTACAACCATATAATTATATAATTCCTATTATACCCTTCTTACGCAATTCCAATCTTCATGCTCCGTAGTCTGTAGGCACAACCCTTAATAGAAATTGTAAATCTTCAATCCTGAAATTGGAAGGCAATAGTAACTCTCGAGCTCTTGGCTTTGAGTTCTTGGGGAAGCCATAGACAAAACTAAATAGAAGTAATTAAATCTTAATGAATTCGTAGAATTCATGGATGGTCTCATTGTAGTGGCGGATCGAGTTAGAGCGAAGTCTTCAAGTTGGTAGAGATGACAACTATTACCATGGGGTTCTCCGGCAAAATTTCTCCCGGTAAGTTTTGAGAAACTGGCGGGCTGGAAGGTGTAGAGGCTTGCAGGAGCTTCTTTCCACCATAAGAGGTGCATGAGACCAAATGCTAAGAATCACAGATGCACAACACAGGTGAAGAAGTGGGGTTACTTCAACGATTTTTTGGATTGGTTGAAAAAGATGATTAATCCAAATTGTTTATTCAAAAGTATTGGTGCAGGTTATAATACGGTGATGTGTTTATGGCTTAATTCAATGACGGTTTTGCGGTTGTACGGATATTTTAGATATTTAATTATTTTTGTGATTATGAATAGCAATTTGAGGGTTGTAAATACAATGACCCTTTTATTTTTATTTTTTTATTGAAACAGTTACCCTACGATTTTTCCTGACCCCTCGTGCTCCCCGTGCTCGGCCCAGAATACACTCCGGCCTCCGGGCAAACCATCCAAGAGTCACCGGAGCTGAAAAGGTCAAAAAACACTACTATGGCTGTTGAGGCCGAGAAGAAGCCTACATTTTTTGTCGCTGTTCACGTAGGCGCTGGATTCCACGCTCCGTCTAATGAGAAAGCCCTCAGATTGGCTATGAAACGTGCATGCCTCGCTGCCGCTTCCATTCTCGGAAAGGTCTTCGTCTTCGCAGTGTAGATTAAAAGTTGTCTTTTTTACTGTGCGTTTTATCTACTGAACACCACTAACGCCCCCCCCCCCCCCCCCCCAGGGTCCCGGTGGATGTATAGATGCTGTTACGGCAGCTGTGCAAGTGTTGGAGGTAATTATGAGTTGTTGGTTCATCTGATATCCGATATTTGTTTCCGTAATCCATATTAAATGATCTTTTTCGTGATCTTTGATTGGAAACTATAGTCTATACTCTATTGTATAGATATTTTTTTTTATCTGAAAGCAAATTTTTCTTTGATAACTAAACTACTCGTATATAGTTTTTTGTAGAAAGGGCAGCATTTAAAATAATTTGATTCAGTAAAGTAATTTGAACTCTTAGCAGTGTTAGTTGAAGCTACTACTATATCAATAATACACCTATGAACTATGATGTCTGGAAACTCCTATGGGTGGCATTTCTGTGTTTCTGAGACTTTTAGGAAACCTTCTGGCTATGCGTGGATCTAAGAAAGTTCTACGGGAGTCGGGAGGAAAGCAACTGATAAGGAAAGTAAGAAAGTTAGTTTCTAGAAAATGAAAACTAGAACTAAATACTACTAGTATTAATGTTTTTAATTTTCTTACATATGTTTGGATTTTTTAATCTCTATGCACGGGTGATAAAAATAGATAAGTGAAGTGAGATTGAACAATATAGAAATAAGTTTACTGAGTTTCAATCAATGTTTTATCCCCCCCATCACACTTTCTTTTGTTTCAATCTTTTCTATAGTCCTTCGTATTTCTTTCCCATAGTATTACGATGGTTTTTCGACAGTTTCCAAACGGCGCCTTAAGAAACTCTAATGGAGCCTTTATAACGACTTTTTTTTTTTCATTTAAAAAGTGATGTTTCTACATTTTTCATTTCACACTTCCTTGCCACTTAGCGGTACACATTAACAGAACTTGAATGAAAAGTTACACTCATAGCATTTGACGATGTTGTATGAAAGACTTTACTTTCAAAAGATAATTGAAAGATAATGGTATACTGTGTATGTGTAACCAAATAAATGGGCGTTATGCTGTAAAGGATTTTTTTCGTGGTTTACCATGAACTGCTCTTTCAGGATGATCCAAATACAAATGCTGGGCGAGGTTCAAATTTGACTGAGGAGGGTAATGTGGAATGCGACGCAAGTATAATGGATGGTGATTCTGGAGCATTCGGTGCTGTAGGAGCAGTGCCAGGTACACTAATATTCGACTTTAATTGACCATTTTTTATTTAAAAAGCAATTATGTTGGATGTTATGGCCTTCAGAGTTCAGAGCATTTTCTTTTACTTGTAATAATCATTACACCTCTTTTGTGAAGTTAATTATTGGCAGGTGTTAGAAATGCCATCCAGATTGCTGCATTATTAGCCAAGGACCAGCTTTCCGGTTCAGCACTGCTGGGTCGTATATCCCCCATGTATGGTTTACTCTTTCTATGAACCGTAGTTGTATTCTTCTTAAAACGAATCTAGTTCTTGTTTTGTTGGGTTGAATATTCCATCAGTTCTTTATTGGATTTGAGTCTAATATATAAGTATGATGTAAACCTCACCTCTTGAGATTTCTTTTGAGATAAATTAGATCCAATGTAGCGTGTTATAATAATCCGGTTTGATGGTTACATGTAGAGTGTTTCCACTTTATGGTTTGAGAATTGGGATTCAATTTGGCACATTTGGTCACCCTTAACTTCTCCTCCTTGGCTTGGGTTGGAGGGTGTTTTGAGTATCTCAAATGGGTTGTTTAACGAGTCATGCATAAATGTGAAGTAAATCTCACCTCTTAGAATTCAAATAGGATGACTTAGATAAAGATAGCATATTGTGTGTGGGTGTGTTCGGAAGGAGCTTACCAACACTTCTGTAGGTTTTTGGTTGGTGAAGGTGCACGTGCATGGGCAAAATCTAAAGGTGTTGTTCTACCAGGAACAATAAAAGAAGCCGACAAGGTTTTATTCCTTTTTCCATTCATATCCATATGACTTTATGCATGTTTCCCAGGTATGCTACTTACATGGTAACTTGGTTGTTTCCAAACATAGGCTCATGAACCATGTGACTTCCTCTCTTCCAAATATTTGTTACTTTAGGCTCTGTTTATTTCGATGAAAATAATTTGTTTTGGAATCTGTTTTGCGTGGAAAATAGTTGCTCTATTTAAAATATAATGTTTGACCCACAAAATTGTTTCAGGAAAGTTACTTACCATTTTCAAGACATGAAAACATTTTCCACAAAGTATCAAAGGATCAGGGGGGGGGGGGGGTATTTTATGTTGCTAAACACTGAAATTGTTTTTCGGAAAGAAAGTGTGCACTATAATCCAGAAAATGTTTTCTTGGAAAGTATTATCATGTGCCAAACATAGGAAATCAGGAAATATATTCTACGAAAATATTTTCCCATTAGCAAAGGGAATCTCTGAGTAAATTTTGTTTCAGAAAATCTGTCCTTTTTGTAACCGGGTGGAATTAATCCTTTTACTTTCATTGAAGAAAAGTGTCTTTACTTTCAATACTCTTTGGTAGTGGTCACTATATGCACATCCTATATTGGTTGTATACTAGGTATGAGTTCAATGGATGTGAGGTAAACTTCACTTCTTGAAGATTAATTTGGGGTGAGTTAGACATAGTTTAACATAGTTGAGGTTCTTACTTTGTGTTAAGGAACTTTAAACGACATATATTTTGAAACGGAGAGAATAATTATATTTGTTATATATTAATAGTGGCTTGTGATTGAGAGGACCAGAAACCTGTGGAAAAAATACAGAGGAATGCTTGATGATGCTAGAGCTGGCATTCCAAGCAATGATGTTTCTTCCACACTGATCACTTCCAACCCTATGAGATTTGATTCAGGTTCAGGTATAAAGCTGGCTATGTAATATTCCATGTCAATGATGCATGGATGGATGGATTTGAATATGTCTGTGCGTTTTTTTTGCTCCATAAGTAGAGGCTCAATTGCTTGATGAAGTGAATGGAAGCAGAAGTGGTGACCAATCTCCCTTGGAAAATGCTCTGGATGAGAACTGGATTAGCGACACCGTTGGAGTAATTTGTGTGGACTCAGAAGGGCACATTGCATGTGGGGCCTCAAGTGGCGGAATTGCTCTAAAGGTGACGATTCTTGGTTAGCTTGTTCTAATCTGTCTGTCCCTATTCTTCTCATTTTTCTATTGCATTTAATTGATGATCCATTCTCTTTTGAATATTTATTTTTAATTTTCCGTGTCACACATGTTATTATGTCTGAAATAAAAATTATGTCCAGTGTACTTCTCATCAGATTAAGTTCTTAGTAGTTGTACCTCACTACCTCCTAATCTCTTGACTCTAAGGGTCTGTTTGGAATTCGAACTACTATAGGGGGAATGAAGTACAACACAGATTATATCTAAAATGAAAGAAAAATTAGGGGAAAATAATGATAGATATTTTATTTTAGTTGTTTGTTGATACTCATTTTATTCATGTCTATAATCTATTACATAAAGAATAAGAAATCTAAATGCATGTTAAAAATTGTTGGAAAAAGGTATTCATATTTCATATTCCTTCACATTCTTTTCTTTCCCTAGCATTGCTCGGGGTTCAAACACACCCCAAGTATTTCCATATAACTTTTGACTCTGCTGTCATGAATGGCTTTGTTTAAATTTGGTCAATGTAAATATGTACTTAGTAATACTGTACTTTGTTTCTTTTAGACTTTCTGCCTGGCTAGAAAGAGATGCAAGTGCTTTCAAGTTTTAATTTATTTGTTTGGCCTACTGATGTTTTGACTTTAACTCGACAACAGGTCAGTGGGAGAGTTGGTTTAGCAGCAACATACGGTTCTGGTTGTTGGGCATCCTCAAAGGGACCATTTGGAGCACCCTTTATAGTCGGTTGTTGTGTTAGTGGTGCTGGAGAGTACCTAATGAAAGGATTTGCTGCTAGGGAATGTTGTATATCCTCATCTATGTAATCTTTTGCCTCTTAAAGATGATCTTATGAATGCTGTGAGGCTAGGTTTGGAACTTGTAGAGTGGTAGAGAAAGGGGGAAACGAGAAGGAAAATGTTTTGCATATGAAAATAAAAATATAAATCATATTTGGTTAACACTTGTAAACTTTTCACATATATTTAGATTTCTAAATCTTTACTAAGACAAATATATAAATAAAATGAGCTTGAAAAAAATATTTAAAGTTGATTAGTTTTGTTTATACAAAAACTATGTGCCCCCAAATTCTCTTCCCTTCCAAAAGTCCGGCCTATTTTTCTCAAAAACTTATTGGAGCCTTATGACACCGTAATAGATTCATTTTTATAATAAGGTTTTCATGCATACATTGAAAAGAAAGTTTGTGGTTATGTCACATATGCCAAATATGACTTTATAGTGGAGTCACATAGGACCCTGTAATATTTCCCGCCAACAAGCAAAAATATCAATTACATCTATCTTTGCATTAAATCTGGAATGATGAAATGATTCTCCTTTATTGGCAGATCTGAAGCTGGACCAGCTTCTGCCTGCTCAAAGGTTATTCGCTCTTTCAATCAAGAAAACAGCAGTAAATATTGCGCTGAAAGAAGTGCTGGAGTTTTACTAGTTCAAGCTGAGGCTCCCCAAAGGGTAAGAGACAATTTCTGACCCTTGGGCGTTTGCTAAGAGCTATTTTGTTGAAATTCGTACTATACTAAATTTTCTAGACAATCTAAAAAAAGCACATGGTGTTTCATCCATTTCAGCCAAAAATAAGCTAGTCAAAAGATACTTAAGGAGTGTTTGCTAAAGATTAATTTGAGTGCTTTTCAGCTTTTGGCTTAAAAAAACTAAAATGAGTGTTTTCAAATGACAGCTTCTGCTTAAATTAATCATTTAAAAGCTAAAAGCTGAAAGCAGATTGAGAGGTGCTTTTAACTGTTTTTCACTTTTTCTATTACACAAAAAATACTTATTCTATCAAACATTACCAACTTTTACTTTTTCGTAATCACTTTTTTCCCAAACACTACCAGCTTTTACTATTAATCACTTTTCCCGAAATCACTTTAAAAAAATCACTTTTTAAAAGTAAAAGCAATCGCAAACACTCCCTTATTCTAGTTATGGGATACATCAGCTAGATAAGGCTACCATACAGAACCTTAATCTCCCTTTCTCTACACAAAAGATAACTGTTTTCATGCCTTCTGGTTGGACTTAAGGTTGATAATGGAAACTCGCCGTTTGTGGAAGCTGTTGAGATCGCAGCTGTATTTTCTACTTTGTCATTTGGAATTGGGTATTTCGGAAGCTCAATGGAAAATCCCAAGGTATCGTCATATGATTCATATGAGTGCTTTCCTTACAATCTTAGTGTACACGTACTATATATATCCATACTTTTCGATAATTATTACTCCCTCCCACAATTTGTTTTTGTGTGTGTGAAGGCATTCTCAATTTTAACCACCATTTTTAAATAATACGTAGTATTTTTTTAAATTAAAACTGAATGTTTTACGAAACTATTTGTAACCAGACAAAAACAAGTGCTTGTCGACCCTTGTAAAGTTGTAAAAACTTTAAGATTGGCCTGGCACTGGCTTGTACATAAAAACTATTTGGGATCTGACTTCAAGATTTGTGCCCATGTTAATGGGAAACTTCCCCCCCTCCCCCCCCCCCCCCCCCCCAAAAGCAAAGGTTTGTGCCTACATTAATGGGCGGAGAGAGTTTTTTACCACACCATAAGACTGAGAAACAATTGTCTATTTCTTGCTCTTTCTCTGGATAATAGTCGCAATTAGATATTGGTCAAACACATAATATATGATTCCTCTGTTTTATTACTTTAATAACCAATTGACCGCACGACCATGAACAGGTTTCTATCCTACGAAGCACAATGAAGCAGAGTAGAGCTGGGGTAGATGAGTTTGCAGCGCGAATTAAACTCCTGCCTTAAATTCGTTTTTTTACTCGTTCTGCTGGTTGAAAACTTGAATTACTGTACTATGCAAACAAAATCTACTACATTAGATGTGCAACTCAACTCATGCTGCAAGTAGTGGGGGCTCTAAGGGTTATTCCCCTTGGCCCATTTTATTTGTTGTATAATTTTATTAATAAATGGTATACAATAATGTCTGTTTACTTGAGTTATATATACACCTATCTTTGAACTTGTATTATCGTAACTTTTGAGATAATTTGATATTGTGAGACCAACTTAAGGGACAGCTATACTTGATTACTCGCAACAAAAAAGATGTCGGAACAAAAGCAAGTATTTTCATTGTTGGCCAAACGGTAATTTTTTTCACTTCCAGAGTTCCAGTTGGGTTTGGTTAAAAATGCTGACTTGCTTTGATTCATTTTGGTCCCTTTAAAAGGTGATTATGTGGTAAAACATAACTGCAAACTGAATCGCTAATGTTTGGCCAGTTTATTGGTGAATTGTGATCTACGGAGTATACAAATTACGTGCATTGCTTGATATAAAAAATGTATCAAATCTTGTTATAATTAATCAAATACATATCAATATATCATGTGTTAGTGACTTGGTGTGATGACTAAATGTGTACGTAGATTTGTCAAGAATCATGATACCTATTACCTAATTTGTACTCCCTCTATGTTATTGGAATTTATTAATTTTTTTACTTTTATTATTTCATACTATCCCCTGTATTTGACTATAATTATACGGAGTATTTAATTACATATTAGTAAATGTTATAAAAAAATTTAAAATTTTGAAAATTCACATTAATAGAAATTCAATAACATTTTATACATAATAATTTAATTACATATATTAGTATAAAATCATGACCAAAGTAAGATATATGAATAGTGCAAAAACACATTGTTACAACTATTAAAAAACGGAGCTAACACAAACTTATCAATAGAATGGAGTTGATAAAAAATATACTAAACACTTACTTCATTCAACAATTAAATTTGTTATGCATAATTAATCATAACACAAACTCTTTAATGCGATTATTGAATCACAAAGAACAATGTGTCGAATTTGTATACTAATTGTTTACTGTTTGTTGATAGGGTTTGACGTAATAAGCTTCAGCATACCAGTTTAACTCGAGTAAATAGTAAAATTGGAAATGCTATTAAATTCTTCAAAATACTGATTATTTATTAAACTGAGCAAAGTCCAATAACTCCATAAACATTTTTCTGCATGTGTGTGTGTATATATATATATATATATATATATATATATATATATATATATATATATATATATATTACACATTAAAATAAAACTTCTCTATTCATAGAGCTTCGTACCAACGCCAAAAATCAAGCAAGTGTGATCCATCTTGACTTGCGGTTAGAACTACAACTACTATTGCAATGACTCAAATGAAAAAGTTATGGATCCGTTTGGCTGATGTGAGCGTGTTAGAGAGAAGCATTGCTATAGTCATGGGTCCAACTCCTCCTGGAACTGGAGTTATTGCCGAAGCGGTCCTTCTAGCTTCCTCAAAACAAACGTCCCCTACTAGCCGATACCCTCGGGGGCTTGTCGTATCCTGTCAGATTAGCCAGCAACACAATTTGATTATGTAGGCCCTCTCAGTATGGTAGGTTCATTTCGCCAATGAAGAACCCGTTTGGGAAGGGTTATTTAGCTGAAATGGTTGGTTGAATCCACTGAACTTTCAGAAAGAAAAAAGGTTGGTTGACGTTCATTTCATCCCAAACGAGTGAAGTCAAAAGCTACTGCGTATTCTAGAGTTAAGCAGAGTAAGCCTTTTTTGGCCACCAAATAGAACCCAAGTAGCTCATTGGTATTTACTTATTTAACATAAGTGGATTCTACACTCTCATTTCAGAGAAACCAGCATATTCAGCCTATTTAAGACAAATAACTTTTACCAAACGGTCTGGTAATTAAATGAATTCAAATAATCCTCACAAAATGACTATTTTTTTGTTTTTAAAATCAAGACCTTCCATACCTCGACTGCATTGATACCAACATCGATGATAACTGCACCGGGCTTGATCCAGCTACCCCTGATCATGTTTGGTTGCCCTACGGCTGATATTATGATATCTGCTTGTTTTGTAATTTCCTCTGGGTCCTTTGTCCTAGAATGCACAATACTCACAGTGGCATCTTCTCTCTACAGGGGGAGGAAAAAAAATAAAAACGTATTCAACCACTAGAATTGAGGAATAATAAAACAATATGTTTGGGAACACTACATTTTCAACCATTTTGGACAGAAGGGAATATAAGGGTTGCTTTTCATTTTAAGAAAATAGTGCTATAATGTGACAACATTTTCAAATAGTTATTAATTTATTACCTAATCAGATAAAATTCGCTTAACTAAAAAATAAATAAAAACACAATCCTTAATTCCTTATGCTTTGCTTCCAAAAACATACAATATCTAAATCACAAACAGACCTTTAAGGTATATTTGATCCCGAAAAAGAGGTGCCATGAAAATTTCATTTCTAATATTTAGTTTTTACCTTGGTAAATGAAAAAGAGAATGAAATGAATTTTGTTTTCTTTAAACATACATTTTCTTTCCTTCAAAATTTCATGTTTATTTGTATCCCTAATTAGGGGTGCGCATGAAAAACTGTAACCGTTTAACAGTACCAAAAAACCGAAAAACTGGTGTTTTTTCGGTTAACCGTACCGTATTTTAAAAAACTTACGGTGCGGTTAACCAACCGAAAGAAAAAACGGTACATGGTACGGTTACGGTTATGAAAAAAACTACCGCCGGTTACCGATAATCCAAATCAAAATATTACTTTCAAAATTAAGAATTATTGATTTAGAAGTTAGAATGAAAATAATCGATGGATGCATACTGTACTGTATGATCAGACTAATGGAGTGCATTATATCCTAAATAGAATAACACAAATGTAAAATAACCTATTAAATTTTATATGTTTGCCACTAAACCCAATTTCCCCGTAAATAAACCCAACGTGCTTCAACCATCTCAGCAAAATAATATGGCATGCAACTCAGGCACTCAGCAGCCTGCAAGTCATGTTGCTATAGGCATACAGTAAGTCAGTAGCGCCTACATCAAAGATGGAGAGAAGAACTCCAAATGTTTATTCTTTTAAATGGTTTTTTGGTTAACCATTAAACGTTATCCGGTTAACCGATGCTATGGTATGGTTAATGGTATTATAAACATACTAACCGAAATCACGGTTAACCGGAAATCGGTTAACCGAAAATTGGTTAACCGAAATGCGGTTAATCAACCGTGCCCACTCCTATCCCTAATGTTTTCCCTTGAGCTTCAACCATAACCTGAATGAAAAGATTGACTGATGGGGATCATATATTAATTTTTACTTGCAGAAGAAGAGCAGCAGGCATTCCAACAATGTTACTCCTGCCAATGACAACAGCTCTTTTCCCTTTGATCTCAATGCCATACCTATGCAGCAGCTCAATGCATCCCTTTGGAGTGCACGGAACAAACAATGGTTCCCTATCCCGCATGGCGAGACGCCCAATGTTCAGTGGGTGGAATCCATCAACATCTTTCTCAAGGCTAACACCATTCAATATCTTCTGCTCATTCATATGCTAAGAATAGAAATGATGAAAAAGACATAATAAGTTGGCATTTATTAAGATCCATGGCTTCAATCTACTGACACTCAACTACATTAACAATCATATATGAGAAAGTTAGATTAGCCCAACTCATCCCTAAAAGATCGTCACGAGGGATATGGGATTCCTATAGACAAACCATGTTGGATACTCGTCATACCCTCCTGACCCTATGTTGGGCTGGACAGCTAAAAATGTGGATAAATGGGCTAAAAAAGCCTAATCCAACACACAGAGTGTTGGTGTCCCACACAAAAACAGTAAGTGGACTTGCATATCAAGTTATATTTTGTCTAACTCACCTCAAAAAAGGCCGTCATGGTTTTGGGTTAACCTCGTACTTATCTGCTAAACTAAAGCCAGGCCAAAAACCTTTGTGAGATACTCAACAAGCGCTCCACGGGCCACGCTGGTCATGAGAACCCAATGGGTGAGAAATGAGAAAAGTGACCCCAAATGGATTATCTAGGGGGGCCATCCACAGAATACTCTAATATCAAGTTAAATCAGGACTCACTCAACCAAAAGAGTGAGGCCCAATTTGGGGAAAAGTGGCCCCAAATGGTTTACCCTAGGAGGGCCATCCACAAAACACTATGTTTACCGCCCGCTTATATACTGTGCTAGGCTAGAACCCAGTTTTGAGACCCTAAAGGAGGATTTTCCTTTGCTAAAAAAGGTGAAAACTGTTTTTCAGCTTATAGCTTTAATCACTGTTCTAAAATTCGCTAGGCGCTAGTCGGGCAGTTGAGGGGTGCCGACTAGGCCGATGTTTTAGCTGACTAGGCCAATTAGTCCTCTATAGTTAGGGCTGCCTAGCGCCTAGGTGCTGATTAATAGGACCGACTAGGCCGATTTTAGAAAAATGGCTTAAATATAGCTAAAAAGTAGTGTTTTCAAATAGGCGCTTCTAGTTAAACTAAGCACTTTAAAGCAAACAACTAGAAGCAAGGAAAGGGGTGCTTCAAACTATTCACTTTTTCTATTGCACAAAAAAAACACTCTAACTTATGCTTTTTCAAAATCACTTCTTTTTCTAACACTACCAACTTTACTATTAAACACTTTTCGTATAATATCTAAAATAAATCACTTCTCAAGAGTAGAAGCAAATGCAAACACTCTTTAATGCGGGATACACAACAAAAGGACCTAGGAGGCTAGGAATCACCACAGCGAATAAACATAAAGTTCAAAAGAAAAATGCAACATGCCAAGAATTCCACTTTGGTAAAAAGATGTCGTCATTAGTTTGATGGTTTACCGAAGGTAGAGGCAACTGGACAAGAATACCATGAACAGATGGATCATCATTGAACCTGGAAATATGCTTAAGAACTTCCTCCTCTGTTGAATCTTCAGGTAATCGCACCTCATATGAACTGATCCCTACATCTTCACATGCCTTTTTCTTGTTGCGAACATAAGTTGCAGAATCCTTCCTGTCGCCAACCAGAATGACTGCCAGACCAGGAGTGATGCCTATTGAATCCTTCATCTTAGTTATCTCAGCACGGATTTCGTCTCTGATTTCTTTTGAAACTTTCTTCCCGTCAATAATCACAGAAGTGAACTCCGAAGTAAACGAGGTTGCTATAAATTCAGTGGCAAATCACTGTTAGGGGAAATGTTAGACACAGAAACTGCTTTATTTTTATGTTTATAATTCGATGCACATCCTCCGTTTTGGACTTCAGAAATGGCTTTATTTTTATGTGTATAATTTGATGCACATCCTCCCTTTTGGAACTTCAGATAATTCCTGTAATAGTTCAATATTTGCTATGTTTTGACTTCAAGTAATGGTGTAAAAGGGGGAAATAAGAAGGAAAAATGATATTTTTATGTTTGATCTTTACAATTGAAAATACGAAGATAATTACTATGTATAACTTTAAACATATAGGATAGTGTAGACTTCTTAGTGTTTATAAATAACTATGAGTTTGAGCTTCTTTCTTTGAATTTTTTTCCCATGCATTTCCTCTCCATCCAAACTTCCCTTCTATTTTCCATCATTTGCAATGGAGCCAAAGATTCATTATTTTTTTGGCATAAGAATTGATGGAATAAAGCAACATGGCTCACCAAACTGTCTGCTCTTCTTTGTTATGAAGCAGCAGTTAGTCCATGCAATTTTTGACACGATTTTCACTATGGTCATCCGGAAACAGTCTCTCTGTGCTTTAGTACAGGGGTAAGACTGCGTACAGGGGTGAGCCTTTGTGGCATTTACCAAGTTCCAGTGAAAAGGGGAAAAGGTCAAAGATAATTGATGTATAATGTTTGGATTTACCTTGAAATTTAGATAGGGATTGAGTTTACCACTATAAAAATAAAATAAAGACAATGATTCAAACTACCCCTCATTCGACATTTTGAGTTGGTCTATCATTGATATTCCCCAAACTTTTCCTTCCAGTTTTCCTCCCTATTCAATATCCCCATCAAGTTCTGGGTTCTAAGCGGACCTTAAAAAATTGGGCTTTATAACTTTCCTAGAACCTCCTCCAAACAAATTATTGTTAAAACTACGCAAATCTCAAGAACCGTCATAATTAATCACATCAACCAATAACCCACGCTTAAGCATTCACAGAATCAGCTGTCTTAATTAAAATACCAAACAAAAATGCATTTTTTAAGAATATGAAAAGTAACCGTAGTTTCATGTATCTACCTGTGGCTGCGGAGGAGCAACAGAAAGCTGCGGTGGTAGTAGTGGAGTTCGAAGCGAAATAAGAAGAATCTATGGAAGTGGTGGTGATGGTCCTCCAACAAGATACAGGGCCCATCGACAAATGAAGTTTGCCGGGCGGAAGGAAGCGAGCTGCGGTGGTTGAAGAAGACGAAGAGGAGTCGGCGGCGAATCTCGCTTTCCTTATAAGCGCCGCCACGGACGAGGTCGTCGACGCGGCCATTCTATTGCGGCCAAGGAGGAAGAGACGAGAAAGATTCCGCCCGAGAATAAACCCTATGCTTGCAAGCGGTTTTTGGAAAAGTGGGTTCACGGTTCACCGGTTACTTGATTACCAGGCTCCACCGGAACTGGCCGTCTCCCTTGTTGAGTTGCTCCCCGCCGACTGCCGTCTTTCCGTTTTCCTTGCGTCTGGGCCGTTCTGACTTCTGACGGACTTGCTTGCTACTTCACCAAACTTTTCTTCTCTTCCTTTTTGTTCGGGCCGCCAACCAAGCCCAAACTGTGGTATTCACTCCGACCCAAAATGGTTAGCCAATGTTGACTTGCACGTGGATTGATAAAGTAAAAACTGTGTGGTTGAAATTTGTGCAGAGGAAGGAGAATTAACTTTAGTCAAATATTCCTTACTTTAAATGGAAATGGCCAACCTTTTTGGGACGGCCAAAAAAGAAAATTTGGCCAACCATTTTGGGACGGAGGGAGTATGTTTACTTGGACTAGACTGTAATTTGTTTCAAATCAAATCAGACGAGACCAGAATAGATTAGACCAGATCAATTTTGTTATTTTACATGGGGCAAGATCGTAATATTTATTTTTTCTAGAATATTTCTTATGGCGTTAAAGTCGGGGTTTCAGATAATTTAATGAAATAATTACAGAGTACATATTTTAAAATAAAAGTTATCTACAAATAACTAAAACATCTTGAGTGTAGTATTATAATAGTGGTCACTTTTATTGTTCCAAAAAATAGCGGTAACTTTTATTATAGTAATTTATATTTAATTTTTACACATAAGTGTCATGACAATATACTATAATTATTTTTAATTATATTTTTGTAAATAAATTTATTTCAATAATATTTTTAAAATAAAACTCTGTGTTGATGGTGCGTGCTTTCCATTGCTTTTGCGATAAAAATCAACTTTTAACTTTAGAAAAGTTCGTCTTTTTGAAAAACTTCTTTCGTTTTAAATTTAAAATTTTGAAAAGAAATGAAAGAAAGTTTTTATATGTTTTTCACTTTTTCAGTTACTCATAGATTCGTTTAAAATGTTTTTTCATAACTATCCACCATTACTGTTAAATGTCAATTACTTTTTAAATGTAGAAGCAAAGATAAATGAGTCCAAAGACAAAACTTCAAATTCCAAAATCTTAGTAGATCTGTTTACACTCTCGCCTCTCGGAAGAGAAACTGGGCGCACACTTCTCCGGCTCCTACCGAGTAGGCGTTCATTTGCTTTTACTTCATTGTTAATTTTAGGGAAAACGGTCACATAAGTTCTCGAACTTTCATAAAATGGTCAATTAAGTCCTTCTATAGGAGGTTCTGTCCGAACATCGCGATTTGGAGCAGTTCCCGGTGGAATTTTTTGGTGAATTTTTTGAGCATCTTATTCAACAAGTCTAGTTTATTCATATCAAATTTCAGCTAAAAATTCAATCGGGAACACATTCAAATTAATTCTTGAAGATAACTGCGCATTTTTGCGTTTTGAATTAATTTGAATGCGCTCCCGATTGAATTTTTAGCTGAAATTTGGTATGAGTAAACTAAACTTGATGAATAAGATGCTCAAAAAATTTCATCAAAAAATTCCACTGGGGACCGCCCCAAATCGCGACGACCAGACAGAGTCTCCTATAAAAGGACTTAATTGACTTTTTTATGAAAGTTCGAGGACCTATTTGACAGTTTTCCCTTAATTTTAATATAGAAGGTTATTATCAAGTAATTACTTGTGTATGTTTGTTATATTAAGTAATTGTGAGTCAAAAAGTAATTGTTGGTCTTTAATATTCCAAAAGATCTTAAAAGAAAATTTATATTTATTTACGGAGTACTAAATATGATTAATAGTTACTAGTCATTGTAACTTAGGGTTAAAAATTGAACATAAATTACTATGATTGCATTACTATTTTAGTCACTAGTTACATTTTTGTAAATCATTTTTATTCTAGTCATATTTATGTAATTATTTCAATTCTAGTCATATTTATGTAATTATTTCAACAACTATATAAACTGCATAAACTGCATAGTAGATATAACCTGTGAAGTAACTTGGACTTTAAATTTTTAGTTTTGAAACACAACCTGGACGGCATCATATTCTTGCCTTTGCATATCCTCTTTTTCTTTCTAATCTTTTCCACTTTCTTTCTAGTTTTTTAACTTTTGAAATATTCCGTATGCAAAAAAAAACTTTATTCTTAATTTCCTTGAAAACCCTATTGGAACAAATAAAAGCGAAATGGAAATAACAATTTGTCACTAAAAATTTACTTTCATAACTACATTCATCCCCCTAAATTGAACAACTTTTCTGATTTAATTATCCCATAAACTCCATCATTTCCTTTTAAAATACGGAGTAATACTTGTCTGATTGTCTCTTATGATCTTATTATCTGCACAAATTTTAACAAGATTTTTATATCCTAATTACACATGTCAATCAAATTTGGCCAAATTTTGTCAAATTTGGCCAAATTTTGTCAAATTTTGTCAAATTTTAGATTGTTGGAATGTAAAACTATGCATTACAACCTTACAGGCATGGCACATGGCACAATAACTACTCCCATAAAAAATGTACGGAATAAGATTTATTTGAGTTTGACACATCTTAACACAAGAGATGTAGTTATTCTTTTACAATAGTAACCTTCAAAAGTAATGAGAAAAAAAAAACTTGAAAAGCAATATTGATCGAAAAGGTGAAGAGATTGATAAAATGTCAGTATCAATTATCATTGCATGCGTGAGTATTTCTTTTTGTTTACATAAGAAATCATTTGTGGTGACTGAAAAATCAAAATAAAGCTGGAAAAATGGCTGGCGCAGGCACAGTTCAGAGCCATCTTTAACGCTTTTTATTTTATTGAAAAGATAAGAAAAACAGTGAGCTGAAAAAGAAATCCCTCGAAAACAGGGCCATGAATATGGAAGCCCTCACCTGTAAACTAAAATAGGCTCAAGAAGGGTGAGTTTCCTCTCCCAAAGTTTGCTGCTACTTTCCTATACACAATTACAGCAATGAGATAAAAATACAAAAAAAAACACAGTTTACAAAAGCATCCTCTTCCTCCCGTTTCAGCGTTATGTGGCTAGAGCTCCATCACTCTCATCTGAAGATGAGTCTAACTGTGGCTGGGATTTGGGTTTATTAACAACTCGGGAATATCCATACCCGAGTGAGCCGCCGCTTGTTTGACACAGCTACAAATAAAAGGCATTGGTTAGTCGTCCAAGCATTCTGCTTTCTGCTCCAAAGACATGTGAATATTATGTCATCCCTTCTATTAAAGAAACAGTATGCTATCCGTTGGCTAGCTGTATTGTTTTGCAAGCTGACCCTCCCCCCCACCCACCCAAAAAAAAAAATAGACCCTACATGGGGGGGGGGGGGGGGGTAGAACCCAGTCTGCACATTTGGTAAGGCCTATAATAGATGAACCTGCTGGAGTTGTGATTAAATCTGCTAAATTATCTGTAATAAACTTTTGCAATGTATTGCTTACATGGATTAAAGAAAATACTATCTAGAAATGAATGTAGAAATGTTGTTTTCTTTAATTTGAGCCTACTTTGTGGCCAAAAAAGTAACAAATGCCCTGCTTGTTTCATTATCAGCTGATTCAGCCAGCTTAGTGGAGTAAGTTAGTGTTTGGCGAAGATTTCGCTCATAGGATGAACCAACAGTTTGCCAAACAGGCTCATCTGAATGTAGAGGCATGTTATTAAGCTGCATTATACCTCAGTTAGCTCAGCTAGGTGGCGAGACCTAAACTCATTGATCGTAGCTGCTATCTCTGACATTGGCAGTTTAGCCTGAAACAGGGGGAAAACTAGGTAAATAAATAATAAATACTCATAAATCAAAAAATAAATGTAAGTATGGTGGGATTGGGGGAGATTGATATGCCAGAGTAGCAATTTTACTTCTACAAGGACAGCCGCCGCTAACTGCAAACTTGGTTCCAAGGTCTCTGGTACAACCTATGACATTAAAATACTATGATCAACATCAGTTATATGATATGGGAAAAGAACAAGAAAAAATTTCCACTTTTGGTCCTTCAGTCCACTTATACAGCCAATTTGCACACAAGATCTTCATCTGATAGGTTACCAGAAAGGACAAAAATGCCAAGAAATCCATAGTTTTACATCAAGAGTGGGGGGGCAAAATAAGGACAACCTATGAGAGCAAAAGTGGGGATTATTGGGATTTGGGAAAGATCATAGTCAGAGAAGGGTACCGCTGTTGCTCCAGCCTTTTCCAAGTTTATGCCATGATCAACATCATGTGCACGTACAAACGTTTTAACGTTAGGAAAATACTTGTTGAGGGCCCACACAGCTCTGTAATTTGCACCAGGGGTATCCAATGTTATTGCCGCAGCACACGCTCTATCAGCACCTACTTTATGGAGAACCTAGAAATGTGAGATAATAAACAAAGAACTCTCTTAACGTTTGTGTCTGGATGTCCACAAAAGACAGCATTGCTTAGTTTGTCAACGACTCAACAACCATTACCTCTCGGCTTCCGGCATCGCCGAAGAATACAGGAAGATCAAGTGCACGCCCAACTGCGACACGATCACTGAAAAAGTAGGAGTTAGGAACAGGGAAAGAGCAAGACCATTTATTAAAAAAAAAAATGACTGCTGATTGCATACATTATAGATACAAATGTGACATGTAAACACATTATCATTCAATCACTAGATTCTCAATTAAGTTGAGACGTCTATATCTGATTATTTCCAAAAAACAAACAATACCTTCTCACATCAAGTGCAACAAATGGAATCAGTCGTTCAGAAAGAAGCTGAGCAATGATCTGAAAGAAAGTTAAGGGCCAAGAAAACAATTTAAAAGCTGACACTTAGGGCATGTTTGGTAAACCATAACAGAATATAATGTGATCTATTCATATATGTTTTTAGTGTAAGTTTACGTTACCCATGCAGTGAAGTACATTACAATTTTACATTACGTTCCATTGTGACTTAATGTCTTACCTAAAATTACATGTTCTTCACTTCAAAAACCGAGTGCTAATAAGTAATAATATCATGAACAAAGAAGATGGACATGACCTGGCCAGCACGCCCAAACCCGCAAATAATAATATGATCTTGCAAATCATCAGTCTGAAAAATTGCAAAACATAATGGAAAAGTTAACAATACTTCCGAAAATAATTAGACCAAGTTATCATCAACAAATGG